TGTGGTGTGGCAGTGAGAGCCCCCGCCCACACACACAGCAATACTGTGGTGTGGCAGTGAGAGCCCCCGCCCACACACACAGCAATACCGTGGTGTGGCAGTGAGAGCCCCCCGCCCGATCCCGTGGTGTGGCAGTGAGAGCCCCCCGCCTGATACCGTGGTGTGGCAGTGAGAGCCCCCCGCCCACACGTACAGCGATACTACTGGGATTATAATATAATGAAAAGTTTTGCTAATGTAGGACATACATGAAAAATACATCCCCACACCCCCTTCTTCATTACACTTGCACTGACCCCAGCATCAAGGACGTTTTTAAATACAATTTAGAGACAAGTAAGTGCCATCTGAACTACGTGGTGCAACATTATTTTAGCCATAGATTAAAACTAGACTCAGACTTTTTAAAAAGACTGAGCAATAAATGATTATTTTTCTTCATGAAAAGAACAGTGTTACTGTACACCTGATACACACATATAATGCCACAAACGCTGTATTGCCAAATTGTCTGTTGTTTTGAACTTTTAAATCGATTCTAACATGCGTGTGATAGCCTATAAGTAACAATCCGTTTTCGGATCCAAGATATAATTCTTTTGTTTGTATGATGTATATGTGTATTTTAACAAAATACAATGCCGTGTGAAATGTTACATACGTTTTATGAGTTTACTTAAATGAAACTGTCGTTTTCACGCGTTACTAAAGAGCTTTCCTTTCGCTGCTTTCAGCGGTGCTCGCTCCCGAGACAGGCATGCGTTCTGCCGCAGGGCTGCCTTTTTCAGCCTAACACCCTGTTTCTTCGGGCGCCTTTTCATGTCTGCTCTCTAGATGGCAGCATCTTCCAATGCGCAGGTCTTTTTATTGCCGTCAGTGTGTTTAACATGCTATGTACAATTTATTCAGAACCTTTAATTCAGACGTAGGAATATTTAAGACACCTGGAGGTAACTGGAAGTATCAATAGTGCGTGGGTATATACAAATATACAATTAAAAAAAATATTAATTAGATTTTAAAATGAACAGGATACAAATGGTTTTCACTACAAATATCGGTGATGTCAAGTTGATGTGTAGCGTGAGAACAGAAAAAAATGAGCAAAATGAGAAGCTTTTTTCAGTAGCTCGTGTATCTGGTGAGTGTACAGTAGGGACGTGCGGATCGATACTGAATTTTGTGTAATTTAAATGCTGTAAGACTTTGGAAATGGACTGAATGTTGGAATCGGTGTCGACGATACCAACCTTGGTATTGGTTCGAGTCGGATTGAAAAGATTCTAAAAATTAGAGATATTGCCCATCACCAGTGAGGGAATGTCACTTTTTACCTTTCCTAGTTTTATTCTACATTTGGCCTATTATAAAGTGACCGCGGTACATCGTTCTTTGAGGATAGACGCAGAACAGAGCGCCGGTTAGCGCCGCAGTTTATGCGCGGATGGCCGCTCTGCGCGCGCTCCCCGCTTATAGACGCCTAAAAGGAGAAGATCCCAGCTCGCGGAGGACGTTTGAACCCCGCGCGGCGGGAGGGTTTCCAGGCCTAACATGGTGAAAAATTGAACAAAGTGGGCGCGAGTCGTCTGAAATTCTGTGGCTTTTCTGCAGGCTTCTTTTGAAAGAAGTAACTCTGTGGAAGTTTGCTCCAGACATGGTGGTGCCAGAGAAGTCGTCGTCCTGATTCCTGTCAGCAGGGGCGCCGTAAGGGGGAGGAAAGCTAGGACGATTCCAAGGGCCCCTGAGTGACAGGGGCCCTGCAAAATTAGGAAAATAACTGAATTGGTTTGGACTGGGGGGCCTAATATGATATGCTTTCATGGGGCCCAAAATCTCTAGCAACGCCCCTGCCTGTCAGACTAGGTGATGCGGCACATCGAGGCTTTCTGTCATTTCTGACCAGAAGGGCAGGAGCTGCATGCTGGTGACATTATGGCTCCCACCCAAACACAGTGTTCTTGCATCTATAATCCACCCATCCATCCATCCAAAAGGTAGCTATGACCTGTGATATTTGGTACCTTCCTATAGAGGTCAAGGAGAAGACATTGGCGATGAACTTGCCTGTGGGAATTTTCGGTTCTCAAAGGCACAAGGGAGCACTGTCAGCCCCAGAGTTTGCTGCCCCAGAGGAAGCAGGATCCGTCACTGAAATTGGTCCCTGTGGAAGCCCCCTTCTGTAGAGCTGTCAGTTATTCCCGGTTATGCCCGGGATCCGGGTTGGTCACGTGGGACCCAGTCAACGGAGTACTGGCCTGGTCCAAATCTGCAGGCATAGAATTAGGGGGAGGGGACAGGGGGGACATATCCCCCCCATAGTTGAGATGGGAGGGGATCATCATCCTCAATAATATCACATATAATGCCTTGATTACAAAAACATACAATTAATATATCTCATTACATAATTTAATATTTTTTCTTACAGTTTTTATTTGGAGAACCCCTATCCTCTGTTAAAACAGTTTATTCTTTGCTCCCACTCTGACTTGCAGACACTCACTTCCAGACATGCAAGTAAAGAGCTAACATAGAGAGCGGTGAGCGCAGAAGCGTGGTACAGCTTTGTACGTAAACTTAACTCATTGAAGACTTTGTATCATAAACAACAGTTAAGCAATAAAAGACTAAGTGTCAGATTCAGAGCCCATCTGACCCTGTCCTTGTGTCTCTTCCCCGTGCGGGGAAGCCATCGCTGGCCAGCCCCTTTGTTGTCTCATTGTCTTTGGCCCTATTGTGTTATCCCTGTTCCCCAGACTGCCGCATGGCTCGGTGGGTTGAATATGTGATAAAGTAGCTTGAACCCTCTGGTTATAGGTTCAAGGCCAAAAACCAGCCTGCCCTGTTTCATTTAATTATTGTTTTTTTCTGTTCTTCCTGGTGTTTATTAGTTCTGTGTTCTCCTTGTTAAGCTTGTGCCTTGTTTTATTATGTTCCACATGTTCCTATATTTTCTGAGTGTCATATTCCTAGTGCGCAATTAGTGTTTCTTACTTACAGTGTTTTAGTTTCCCTAGTCTTGTGTTTATTAGTATAAGTTACTGCACCTGTTGTCTGTTTTCCCCACGCTGTTGTTAATGGTTGATTGTCTGATGTTCCACACCTGCCCCTCTCATTAGTCCAGTTGCTTTTTGTGTGTAAGCACCTGCCCCTGCTCAGTTCTTTAGTCAGTGGGATGTCTTATTTTTCTGTTGACCACTTACACTTGTGTTCACATTTACACTTATGGTGTCATGTTTGCTTCACGCGGAGCCACGCCATTGTTTTTTGTACAGCAGTCTTTTGTGTTTAATTTTGATATTTTTAAATAAGTTTACTTCAACAGAATAAAGGAGAACAGCAGCAGCACGGCGCCTCACCATCGTGCTGGAAAGGCTGGTTGGCCGAAGCTGCCGATTTATCCTCACTGCAATTAGAGGCGAAGCCGCCCCGATGTGAGAGTCCATCACTGAACATTATAGTGGGCTTTCTATCTGAAATTCACTCCAAGGCTTTAGATATTACCATTGTTATGCATTCAGTGCAGAATCTATTAAATAAAGAACAAGCAGTTGCTTTTTGACTGATGAGGATTCTGCTCTTCAGTACACAGACGTGTATAAATGGAATGCCACGGAATAAGATAACGACATGAACGCCTGAATGTTAAGCGTCTGTCTCCTTCTCATGTTACTCTCAGTGTCTCGCTCCCAGTTCGTCATGCTGGCCTCTGATGCCCCCGCCGCTGTGGGGCTTTTCACCGGCTGGGATGGGGATCCTGTTTTTCTTTGCCCACATTCAGTTAGTGGGCAGTTAGTTTACATACTCAAACTTGTTTGC